AGAAAGACCGAAAACAATGAAGTCAGAAAGAGAATGGTTAGCTAGATTAAAATGGCGGGAAACTGGTTTGGTGGGATCGTTATTGCGAATATCATAAGGATGATTGCAAATGCGATCACCAAGAATGGCCAGTCAAACTGGGTTATTATGTCACCCTCTTTAAATAAAGTTTATTGTATTATATTGTATTGTAAGAGGCCAGTCCAAATTTTGGAAACTTTTCTCTATAAATTTTTTCTCTTTATTGCATGTATCTACGCTGATAAAACATACGCCCTAGGACAATAATGAAAAAAAGGATGCTTGTTTTCTCAGGCTAATTCATATTTTTTGAGGGGGTGATTAGCACACCTTTTGATTACTTTACACATTAGGGATTGGGCAACAACTCCCTGTGGTTTTAAACTAAAATAAATTACTTTTACCTTAACAAGATAACTTCTTAAAATTGTTGTTTTTTTCAAAGGTGAAAAATATCAAAGAAGCAATGAAGGATTTAAAAGAACATAAAATAAGAGCTCTCAGCTCTGAACCAAAGGTGATCAGTGATTATTGCAACATCTCCTTGACAACCATTAAAATGCTCTGACACTTTAATTTATTTATTTCCATGATACAGATTGGAGCTCATGGGAAGCCTGTGGTATTTCTTCACCCTAAAGACTGTGGAGGAGTGCTGGTGGAGCTCGAGGAAGAATAGCAATATACTTTTAGCTATTTTAGGAAAATATTTCTAAGTCAGTCTTAAGAAGTAATAGACCTAATTGGCTAATGTGTTGCTATGTACCTTACCACCAAATTCAAACCTTCTGGGAATACAAGCGTTTGTTTCTATGAATTCAACTTAAACCAAAATATAACGAACAATGAAACTTAGTCCCATGTGGTTTGAATTGGGTGAAAACATTTATAGCAACATGTTAGCCAATTAGGTCTATTGAATTAGACAACAAAAGAACAAGAAGCTAAAGTAAATGCTGTTGAAATTTTTAGAAAAAGTAATGTATTGTTTTAGGTTTTGTATCAAATTATTTTTGATTTATAGCAGAAGCGACATGAAAGAGAGAGCTTGAAGATATGAAAACTAAAACAAGAGACTAAAGATTAGAAAGAAAGAAAACAAGAGAGAGAGGAAAGGAAGACAGAGAGAGGAAAGGAAGACAGAGAGAAGGAAGGAGAAAGGAGAAAGTATAAACTTAAAATATATAAATTAATAAAAAAAGAACAAAAGAATTATCTTTACATCAAGAGTTTAAAATTTAGTTTTTGTAAAAGGGGTATTCATATTCTTATTATTACACTGATAATATTTATTTACAGCAGGTTGCATTTAACACTTTATGTCCAATGACAGTTTTTTTGGTATGCTTGACCAGATCTAGGAATTTGTTAGGGGTCGTCCCAAATAAAGAAATCATATAGAGATATTATGCATCATAAATGTTTCTTTTGCTTCAAAAAAGTGTAAGATCAATTATGGCATTAGGGGGTGTCCGGTGTGTACTGCATTGCAGGGTACCTCTATCCAATATGACAGGATCTGAAATTGACAGAAAATAAAATTGAGAACTTCAAGTAAAAAGTTTATAAAGATAAAGTGTAAATAAGTGAAAGTTTTTATTTTTTGTAACATTTTTGCTTGGGGGGGGGGGGGGTAGAGACTGTTTATGCTCTTTACCACCCTTGGATCTGCTTTTGGTAGAAGGAATATATTAAGCCTTGGAGACAAAAGAGTTTGATTTTCCTGAGATCGGCTTTCTCGTCCTTCATGCAACTATACAGAATTTGCATTTTTCTTTTAAATTGATTTTTGAAGACAAACTAGTATTCAAATTTCAAACAAAAGAAGAAAAACTTTACTAAATTTTTACCCTCTGCCCCAATCATTTCCAGGCTAAGACGTACGTGTATTATGAGTGTCTCATATTTAGTCCTTCTCATGCCCACCATCTGGAATTTTAAGCGTTCAGTCACGCCTATATTGAGACAGTCACGATATCATAAAACACACAGCACACTATAAAAACAACCAATCAGAATTGACATAAGAAAAAACCCCAGAAAGTACACAAAACCTGATTGGTTGAATTTCATCACGTGTTGAAAAAGACCGCCAAAACTTGCTTGAAGGATCAGTGCGCGCAAGACGAGGACATAAGATACGAAGGCGTCTTAAATATTAGACTTTACGAACCTTTCTTGACATCTAAATAATGGCTACTGCAATGAAGTCGCCTGCTAGCTCCTCTTCTCAAACTCCAGAGCAATCCCGCAGTCGTTTCGAGGGGATTTCTCCCACTAGAATAACTCGAAATCAGGAGAAGTTGGAGCTCCAACATTTGAACGACCGTTTGGCTACCTACATCGATCGAATGAGGAATTTGGAAGAGCAAAATAGCATGCTCAGGTCTGAAGTGACTACGACTAAAGAGACTGTTGAAAAAGAAGTCGACAACGTTAAGAGTATGTATGAAGCTGAGCTAGCAGATGCTAGAAGATTGCTAGACGAGACTGCTAAAGACAAAGCAAAGCAGCAAATAGACAGCAGCAAGAACTCTGCGCTTGCCACCGAATACAAAGCAAAGTAAGTTACAGTCGACTTCAATTATATATTTAAAAGGACCCTAAACTTGTTATCTAGTAGATAACATAAGGAATCCATGTACACTGTACCGCAAACAGTTTTCTTTCTTGTATACACGCGTACATGATTAGAAATATCGAACGCGTGCTTCAACCTGCATGCTTCGACTTCATAAACTTTGATTATTCGTTCGAAATCGAAAACTACTTGAATCGATGTCTTTATCAAGGTTTTCGCAGCCATAGTTTTCGATTTTCGAGTCCATGAACCAGAAAAAAGTTGCAGCACATGTGCAATTAGTGAAGCAAAACCGCATAGTTTTTGATATCTACAAGGTTTATGATCTTCTGATCTGCATTATTCCTTATGTAAATTTGTCGTGCATATTCCAGTTGTCCGTTATTCTGTCTAACACAAAGAGTAACTTCCTTACAAGTTAGTTTTGAAGTAGTCTTATGAACACATAAATAATCGCGTCCATCTGATTGACCAACATAATTTTCGCAAAATTAAAAAAACTTTTTTACATTCCTAATGTGAGATTTCGAGGTACTAGTAAAACAAAGATTGCTTGGTCATGTTAATAATAAGTGTATTGACTGTAAAAACTATAAATTCTAAAATTAAAAAGATGTATTTAAAGATCATGTTAGTTAAACTTTGTTGTATGTGTTGTTTTGTCGTGCTTAGCTTGAGTCCTTTGTTACAATTTTGCAAGTCACAAAGGGTATTCAGTTCTAAACACTAGGCATTGGGCATTAATCAATGAGCTGCACTGTGTTAATTTGAAAAGGAAAAAGTTCCCTGTTAAACCCTATAATTCACCCTAATCAACTTTAAACGAAAAAAATTTAGTAAAACAAAACCTTACAGACTTTTTGGTTCAAAATGTACTAATTTGAAGTACAATGTAGTCAATGCACGTGGACATTGTACTAGTAATATAGATATAAAAGGCTTTACAAGCTTCAAAATAGAATAAGAGAGGACTTGATCTTACGTGATAATACCGAAGAAACCACTGCATCATGATGTAGTCTCAAATGAAGAGATAAATGGTAGAATCTTAACTCGGCCTTTGTTCAATATATTTCTATATCATGCTAGTTGAGCTAGTACTAAAAGTGTGTTATGAATAAGAGATTTATTTTTGCCTTGATTTGTGTGCTGCCTGTAGCTCACCATTGTTGTTGAGGGTTCGTACTCTCCATTGATTTCTTCCACAATTTTAATCTTTACTTGTTCAATTTTCTTTGCTTTTTCAGTTTTTCCTCTCTCTGCAAAAACCTGTAGGATATTGTATATTATGTCCTAATTTGTTTGAAACCTCTCAGACTAAATAAAGCTGATTATTATTTTTATTGTTATTATAGTGGGTGATCATTTTTACCTCACAGGTATGAGAAAGAAAGTGCAGCCAGAAAAAAGGCAGACAAAGAACTCAATGACCTCAAGAAGCAGCTTGCAGACAAAGAAAACCAGCTCTCCAAAGTGAACACTGAAGCAAGGAATCTGGAAGAGGTAATGCGTGAACTGCAGAGTGAGTGCCAAGAGTTGAAGGATGCTCTAGAGTCAGCAAAATATGCATTGGAGCAGGAGACCCTCAGCAGAGTCGACCTTGAAAACAAGCTTCAGTCTTTGAAAGAGGAATTGATTTTCAAGAAGTCTGTTTATGATAAGGTAAGTTTGACTCCAAAAACATACATTTTACAAAGAGGAAAGCCATTGTTTTATTATTATTGGCCATAATTTTTTCTTTTTTTTTTTTTTTGCCATATCTAATAATTAACTTTATTTACATCGAGAGGGTGACACATAATAGTTGACACCCAAAAACTTGTGGCTGTAAAGATATGTTGACATATAAACTGTATCCATGGAAACATTCAAGTTCTATGAAGATATTCATCTTCCTATAGATATTATTAACCTTTGGGAAGTTTCATCTGCCACTATGAATTCAATAATTAAAGGCCACGTTTTATTCACAGGGCTGTAGCAGGGCTTAAAATAACGGACGGACATCAGACAGTGTCCGCCCAGAATTGGAACTTGTCCAGTCAAATCTTTGCCTTGCCAGTCATTTTGACCAGTAACATTGAGCTAGAAATAAGGTATGATCAAGCTAAAACTAATTTGGCTTGTCATAACAACTGGGAACTTATGGGCCATCATTTTGAGCCCTTTGAAGTAGCCTTATTGTTGGCTTTTCAGCATATTAGCTGGTCCCCATGATTCCACAAACCTCTGCCTTTACTCTAAGCTGTGTAGCTTTAGCCTCAAACGCCGACATGAAAAGTCGCTTGAAAAATTACTAAGTTGATTTCATTGCTTGCAGGAATTGACAGAGATAAGGTCTCAGCTAAAGACAGTTGAAACCAAGAGGACCGTCATTGAAACAGACTACGAAAATAAGTATGAAAGTGTATTGATGGAGAAATTACAGGAGTTGAGAGAAGACTATGATCTTGAAGGACACAAGTTCAAAGAAGAAACGGAGCTGTTGTATAGCTCAAAGGTGATTACAGTAACTTTTAGTATTATGCTAACTAGGTAGTTGGTGCATGGTTTTTCATTGCCGCCTGTCAAATATGTAAATTTAAGATATCAACTGATTATTTTTGATTGATGGAAGTTAAAACTCAAATTGAATTGTGCAGCTCACGACTACCRAGTTAAAAAAAAATTTGAAAACTGCTATAATGTTCAACACAAAAACATTTGGCACAAAAAATATTTGATGTACAAGTATACTTTTTTAGTTTACTGTTATTCATTATTTAAAAAAAACAATTTCTATCTTATTTCTAAGTATGAGGAACTGAAAGCTCAACAGGAAAAAGATAGCAGCATCATTGCCAAACTGAGGGAAGAAAACAGAGATTTATCAAGTTTAGTTGACACTCTGAGATCTGATCTTAATCAGGAACTAGCCAAGGTATGATATTTCTTTCCACTTTCCTCTTGAATCATTATTTCTAGGCTCTTCTTCCATTCCCTTCTTTCCCTTTTTTCGGAGATTGAAGAATGGTACCCACCCCCACCCCTCCCCTCCCAAGAAAAAATCCTGTATTCACCTCTCGACACTTTCTCTGGTCTTTGGGTGTCCACTAATGGGGTTCCACTCTTACTATGTTGTAGAGCAAAGCTCTGAGTCAGAGAGTATCAGACCTACATGATCTTCGTTCTCAAGACAAGAAGAAGGCTGATGAAGCCATTGTGCTAAGAGAGACTGAGATAACTGAGTTGAGAACTAACATTGATGAAGCACTCAAGGATTATGAGGATTTGATGGGAGTTAAAGTAGCCTTGGATATGGAGATTGCAGCATACAGAAAACTGCTTGAAGGAGAGGAATACAGGTAATGTTGTCCTGTCTGGAGGCATAACACTAATGTACTAGCAAATCACTCATGATTGTAAGCTGCACGGCTGATACTAGCGCCTTAATGTGCAGCCCATTGTTATACGTTGTATAAATGGGCTATACAAGAACCTAACATTATTAATATTATACTGTTAAAAAATATACCTAGATTTCTTATGGATAAAATAACCATAACCATGACTCATCAATGATGAAAATGATGAGAAAATTAACTTTATTGAAAATTGCAGCCAATAAATTGACCTCACCTTAAAAACACTCAGGTATTTTAAACCTGGCCAGGAGGGGGTGAAAAATGCATTAACAAGGTGCTTTGATATTGATACTTGTACATCCAATTTCAGTCTCAAAAATTTAGCTCTATAACCAGGCCCATCGCTTGCGATGGTTCGATGGTTCGAATGAACCTCCCTCTCCATCTTTGTAAGAGTTAAGCTCTATTTTAGTTTTTCAAGAAATGGCATAACTAAGATTTATAGAAACATGAACCTCACCTTTCAAGGTCCTAGAGATGGGCTTGGTAACATATGAAATGCCATACACTAAAGGAAGCCTGCCTAATGTCTCTATCCTTGTCTTACAGGTTGAATATAACTCCTCCATCTTCACCAGTATTTGGTGGAACACCAGGATCTGGTAGATCAAGAAGGGGAGCCAAGAGAGCAAGAACAGAAGAAACAGAATCTACCATAACAACAACCACCACAGCAGAAGGTGCTATTCAGATTATTGAATCTGACCCAGAAGGGAAGTTTATTAAGCTTTTCAACAGCGGTGATAAGGTAAGAAATAATTCTTTTTTTGTTGTTGTATCAAGGGTGATTAACAGTAGCAGTTACAAGTGCTCTTTTATCTCACCTTTTGGGGCCGAGGTTAGATTCCTAAACTCTGCATTAGATATGAGTAAAAAAAGGGTAAAGCTGATTTTTAACTTCAATGATGAGGGGAGTAGTTGCCCAATACTCCCAAGCCAGAGCCTGATGCATAAAGCTCTTCAAGGTGCACACTTTACCCCCTCAGCCTATCAGTGCTCCTTATTCTGGCATTTAAAGCTAAAGCTGCAGAGAAATAGAAGTCAAAACAGATGTGGAGTTCCTGAGGATTGGACCTCTAAGCTATAAAGGCCACGCACTAACCAACTGAGTTACGGCTGCTCCTAAAAAGTTTCTTAGTCCTCTCTCCTGGGTTTTTGTGAAGCTTCTCCAGTTGTGCATTTCAAATTCTACAAAAACTTTTTTTTTCTTCATCAGGATGAACCTCTAGGTGGCTGGACTATTCAAAGACAAGTGGGCAAAGAAGACCCAGTAGTCTATAAGTTTACCCCCAAATATGTTTTAAAGGGTAATAGTTATGTGACAGTGAGTATTCAGTTTTATTTTTCCACCTTTTTTTAAAATAAAGAATTGCAACCCTGCTTCAGCAGTAATTTTCCCATTTCAGTCCACCTTCCATAATATTAAAATAAGGTTTTTACAAGTGTATCTTTACAAGATTGTTTTGTGAAAAAAGATATAATGCACAAGAGAATAGCATGTGGTATGAACTTGAAAAAGTCTGAGGGGAGACGTTGTGGTATTAATGACAAGAGAATGAAATGAATTATCTTTCAGGTATACGCATCTCAAGGAGGTGGTCATCACAAGCCACCTGCAGAACTAGTCTTCAAACAGCAGGAGTCATGGGGCTCTGGAAATGAAGTGCGGACAGCATTGATAAATGCTGGTGGAGAGGTGTGTGTCTGTCTTTGTCAATTTGCAGATGAGAGAACAGAATGGAATGCACTTCACCAGCAAGTGCTGGAAGAAACATATGGCATTAAGACACCCATCTATGGAACTAGCTTTTTATTCTGAACCCTGGTCCTTGTACTGTGTTCTTCCATTTTCTTCTCATAACTTTTTGAAAGTGTCCCAGTTCAAATTCTCCTTACTAAAAGCATAAAAGTTAGAATTATTTGATATAGGGGAATCTGGATTTTCATCAAATTTGCTTCTTTTCTCTTGTTTTGTTCTCATTCTCTCATTCATTCATTCTCACAGCTTTTTGGACTTCAATAGGCATTTGATTGATTCTTTTTGTGATCAAAAGAATTGGTCAAAGCCAAGGGGAAAAAGTCCAAACCTAATTAGTCTTGGTGTAATTTACCAATTTCGAACCATGTGTTATTCCCTAGAGAATAAGATTCTTCATTTGGCTTGTATACCATATTCTTGCCTCATGTGTAACTGTTGAACAAGGAAAGGATGGATACTCTTGGGAATGACTGTTTGTTTATAATGAGAAAATATTGCATCAAGACGGATTAGGTCTGTTTCAACAGTTGTCGTTGGGATAAGTCTTAGAAGAGACCTTCACTTACAAATGCAAAACCTCTTTTCTCTCCTTTCCCCTTCATTCTTTACATCATGACAAGAAAAACACATGCAGTATCTAAATTATTTACAAATAACAACATGTACATATTTTTTTAGTATTATATTCAGAATTTTTTTATATGAATAAATTATGGGCAATAAAATTGGTTTTGAAATGAAGATATTCATGGCAGAGATATGAAATGATTAGCTCAGAAAAAAATCTGAGTGTCAGACAGGATTAATTTTCGTATTCAGAGTTTATAATTATAATCAAAACAGAAAAAAAAAAACCAAAAAAAAACAGAAAATGGAAATTACRAAAACATTTATCTAAGAATTTTTCACAAAAATTTTTTTAATTCAAAAGTTTGTTAATTATTATTATTATTTTTTTTAGTTTTTTTATTTTATTACAAAAGCTTGTACATTTATATATTCATATATTTTTTTGTAAATAAAAAGTATTTTGAAATTTGAAATAAAGTACAACAATATTTGAATTTCCATTGAAACTTAATTTTGGAATTTTATTATTTTTTGAAGCAAATTGATAATTTAAATATCAAAATATATTTGAACTTATCCAATATAAATTATATATATAATTTGAAAATCATAAAAAGCACATTTCTAGCTTTGGGAATTTTTTTTTTCAATATTTTGATTCTATTATCTAATATTAGATTCCATTAATTCTGTGAAATAGAATCTAATAGTCAATGATAATGAAAGCAATCAGTGATACAATAGTCAATGTTAAATAAGTCGACTGCCACATATTCTTTTGTACTGTCAAATCCTGACTAGATTTTGGTCCAATAATTAAATAAATTGTCACTCGGTTTTATTTTTCTTGATAAGTTGCACAGACGTTCCAGTTCAATCACAGACTTCCTTCAGTTAAAGATATGAATCTAATTTTGAGCTTGCCAGTGTTTTACATCTTTGCACTAAATAAGGTCTGAGATTGAACTGAAACATCTGTTCAATTTGTCTAAAAAATAAGCCAAAGTCAACTAATTTAATTAATATTACCATGAATCCTGGCTGCAGTTTTTAACATTTTTAAATAGTTAATTTCATTAGCACTATTGATTAAATATTGATTGGTAACGTAATTAATATATATTTTCTAGGAGTTGGCAACTCTCACTGAAGAGAAAGTATTTGAACAGTATTGTAAAGATACTATTGATGGTCAACGAAGGAAGAGAGAGGTAAGATAATCTTTTTCACAGTTTTTTCTTCAATCTTTCCTATTTTCTGGTCTTCTTTTCAATTTCACACTTTTTCTTTAAGCCATTTGTTGAGATCTTAAAATCTACTTTTGTTCAATAATCAGTGTTTTTCTGCTCAAACCTGTCTTTGGTCATGTTGCTAAAGTGTTTTTTGTTTGTTTATTTGTTTGTTTTTGTATTTTTATTAAGTATATTTTATATAGTTTTGCATTTTCGTGTTTAAATTTTTTTTTCTGAAAAAAAAGTAAAACTTCATTTATTTTTTTATTTTKATTTTTTTAACATTACATTATCGAGTATTTGAGTAATTTTTTTATTTAAAACAATATATGGATCCTGACATTGCACTGTTGCTTTAATAATTATAATAATAATATTTTACAAMCACCACTCCCCATGGCCATATGGGGCTCTTTTGTGAGGTTCCCTCCACACGCACTACCACTACATTCAATATTCTATGTACACAACGCTCCTGAAGGTCACATGTTGATTTTTACGGAGGGAGGAAACCGGAGAACCCGGAGAAAACCCTCATAGTATAGGAGAGAACAACACATCAAACAAATTCAATTCATATGTGGCAACGGCAGGGCTCGAAACAGCGACCCGACCGGTTGGTCTCACAGCAGTGAAGGATGACGCGTTAGCCGCAAACACCACCCATGCTACCCCATGTTACATGCACCCATGCTACTTTACCATCAAATTATCATCTACTCACCAACCACTGACCAACATCTTACCCCAAGGGCAAATCCAGAGGCGAGTGAATCAAATGACTAGTCACTCCCCTTTGAGGCCGAAAAAAATAATAAGAATAAAGGATAAGATAAGACCTACAAAAGGATTCAATGTGATGCCTTTCAAAGTAACAGTCAACTGCCTTGAAATTATTCTGAATCTGTCACTCTTACCTTAACATACATTGGAGTAGCCAAGTTTTTAATCATCTACCTCTTACATGGTCTTCATACCTACGTGAATGTATTTCGCCTTAAAGAAAAAAACATTTACATTTCTATTTCAGGGTGAGCTCAACAAGGGCTGCTCACTTATGTAAAAGTACACAAAGTAAAAATTTTGTAAAGATACTTAGTTGAAATGGAGAAGCTATTGAACAATATTCTCCTGGTTAAAGTAGCCTTAAAAGGAGACCCTAGTTTATCAGTGCACTCAACGTTATAGGAAGCATCTGAAAAAAGCATCATTAATATTGACCAAAAAACCCACAAATCCCTTTCCCCTTAAAAAGGTAAAACAGAAGTGAATCTGTTTGATTACCAAACTGTTGTCAATGGCAACCAACCAATTTTATCAATTTTACAGAGAATTATCTTAGTCTCAAAGCAGAAATCTCTCGTCATTCACCTCATAGAAATTCTAGGATTTACGACTTTTTGATGTCAATATTGTCCCTGATTTTCCTTTTTGTACATAAGTGCATATTACTGGGTTTTATCCCCAAAAAATTTTGATTTATGATTAGATTTTTTTGTGATATTAATATATCATTATTACTAGTTTTGGGCTGCTCTCTGCAGTTTATTTTCCGTTGTCATTTTATTAGAAATATTTATTATATTATACTGCTTTCGTTAAGTAGATTTTCCAATGTATATGAACAAGGTTTTTGCTTGATCATGTTATCAATTCTTGCATAGCTTCATGTCATAAGACTAAAAAAATCTTTAACTAGAAATATCTATTTGTAACATTGTAGTATTTAGCAAACAAAGCATATTTTTTATAATTGTGAATTCTTAAAATAAAATGTATGGATGTCTGTGTATTATGCGTACTGTTCTCTATCTTTACCTTCAAACTTTTCCTACTTAAAAGCACTACTACTTAAAAATAAAAGCACTACTACTTAAAAATAAAGTATTGTCAAGTATGTCTTCTTGCACCTAGTCTGTTCTGCTGATAAAATGTGTTAAAAAATCAAATTAAAAAACTCCTTTTATTGTCTAATGAAATGGAATGTCCTATCTTCAGGTTTGTGCTTTTTCTTTCATTTTTTCCCTTTCTCTTGGTCTTATCTGATTAGAGTGATTTCATTTAATCAGAGAAATTGTGTAATACACTTAATTGAAAAAACGTCGGGTTCAAAAAGGGTTATATCATCAAAGCTGATTAAAGACCGAAGGGGAGCATGGGAAGACAAACAATAATGCTAATTTCATGTGTATTGCAGTTTTCCCTTCCTGTGCACATTTTATGCATCATGGCTTTGGCATGTTGTTAATCTAGGTTGACCGACTTTGCTCTACTGTGCATTTTTACATGTCTATATGCAAATATAATACACATTTAGGAGTACCCAAAATCCTTTTTGGTCTTAGCTTCGATGATATGACCTTCTCGAACCCGACTACGTTTTTTCAATTAGGTGTGTGTCCAGTGATAAAATCGAATAAAAATATTTACAGTGTCTATATGATTCTTATTGTTTGAATAAAATCACTCTATCATTATCATTAGAGTGCAAACAATTAATCCGTGAAACACCAATTACTAAATAGTACAAAATAGTGATAATTAAACGATAGAAAACTGGAATTTGTATGAAATTGTGCTATTTAGTATTACTAAAGTTTCACGGATTTACTGTGGCCAATATCATTATTATTATTATTATTATTATTTGAATTTGTCTGACTAGTAAAAATAAAATAAAAAAGGGGTAAATTATAAAAAAAGAAATGGGAAAAATATCAAATGTCACGCGAATAAAATTAAGGTAAAGTAAATGATTGGTTAAGTAAATGAAAAAAAATAAGTAGATAATGAAATGGGAAAAAAAAAACAACAAAAAAACAATTTAAGAGTGAGTTATTTAGTAAATTAAATGAATGACTAAACAAATAAATGAATGGGTATTGAACAGATGCATGATTTGTTCAGTAATATAGATAGCGAGTGAATGAAGAAGTGAGTACAAGTATTTTACTTTTAGAGAAACTATTTCATTTTTATTTCAGGGTGACCTCAAAAAGGGCTGCTCAATTATGTAAACGTACATGAGGTACAATTTATAAAGATACTGTAGAAGTTATCTAACAATCTCCTGGGTAGCCTTTAAAGAAGCCTCTAGTTTGTCAGTGCACTCAACATTAAGGAGCAAACACCTGAAAAATGCATTGTATAATCAATATTGACAGGAAAACCCCACCCCTTCTCCCATAAAAAGGCTAAACAGTAGCAACTGTTCATTTACCAAACTGTTGTCAGTAGCAACCAACCTCGCTATTCAATATTTTTTCTTTATTCTATTATTTTTACGAGGATTAATTTGGTGTTCAAGGCAGAAATCTGTGGTTAAAGGATCTCGAACATCTTTAAGCAAATTACACAAGAAAATACGATATTTTTTAATAAAACACATCCAGAAGGCTAAAAAAGTCAATCGTTGAACAATAAGCTTGATGGATTTTGCCCAAATCTATCTGTTAGTTGTGCCTAGACATCATTATCAAACTTAGATCTGCTTATAGAAATGTGCTCACTGATTATCTCTCGTTGTCAAGGTCGTAGAAATTTTAGGATATTACTTTGATATCAATTAATTGTCTATTTTTATTAGTGCATGTCCCTCTTGTTTTTTAATTTTTAAGTTCTTTCTCTTTACCTTAAAACTTTCCCTGCATAAAAAAACACTTAAAATGCATATTATTTGTACCTATATTTCATGTAAGTAAACTGGGGGTTCTTAAAAATAATACATTGTCAAGTATGTCTTTGGTAGTTTGTTCTGCTAATAAAATGTGTAAAAAAGTCAAAAATACTCCTTTATTATCTAATGAAATAGAATGTCCTAACTTTGTGCTTTGTCTTTCGGTTTTTCTTTTTCTTTCTCATCATCTTTTCCTGTTTCACTGAGTTTTTATTTTAATTATCTTATACCTTTTTTTCTAAAAAACATCACTCTTTCGTTACCAGTACCATTTTGTGTTATCAATATTATTCAAATTTGTCTGACAATGCGCCGAATCGAAATATGGCGACCAATTTGAATAACTATTGTTCTGCACTGACTAGCGACCGACTAGCCTCTCATACATGTGAAAAAGCTTTTGTGTTTGCACGTGATCACGAGGCTAGTCAGTCGCTAGTCAGTGCAGAACAATAGTTATTCAAATTGGTCGCCATATTTCGATTCGGTGTATGGTAAAAATATTTAAAATAAGGAGTAAATTATGAAAAGTAAGGAAAAAGAAATAGGGAAAAAAAATCAAAAGTCTCGGATAAAGTTAAGGTAAAGTAAATGATTGATTAAGTAAGTAAAAAAATGAAAATAGATTAAAAAAAACTGGATGAATAGCTGCATGATATATTCACTGAATATATATAAATATGTAAATAGGAAACGAGTAAGTGAGTGAGTGAAAAAATGAAAACGAATGTGTGAATGAATAAATAAATGCATGATTAATAAGTAGAAATCTCTTTCCTTTGGTAGATGCATGAGGGTGAGAAAAAATTTCGCTGTAATGTGACCATTTCCAGCCTATATGAGCTTGGAACTGTGCTAACCTTTCCATTTATCAAAAACAAATTTCAATTCGTTTTTCAGTCATGCCGTCTCATGTAAGACCAAACCAAAGAAAAGGAAGCAGAATTCCAAAGATGTAATAGCGTAGATTCAGACTTTAGTTTTAGCCTTGAAAAAAACTTTGAACTATTTTTCGTATCTGCATCAGTCGTCGGCTTGTCTTGAAGGTGTGACTCTGCAATTTTTTCGCATCATAATCTGAATTTAAATTATAATTTCAATTGCCATCAACAGAATTGTTAAATATTGTACACCTTAACTGCTGTAAAAACTGTCCCAGTTAAAACATCTCTCAATGAAAACATGTCACGATTAGAGCGTACTGCTGTATCTTGTGTATTTTGCAGGGTAAAGAGGAAAAAAAATCTCCGACAATCATAAACCAGTTAAAAGATGCCAGTGTGTGCGAAACGAAAATAGTCGTGTAAAACTAAACAAGTTGAATTTTTCACTTTCTAATTTAATGGAAATATTTACAACCGTAATAAAGCATTTTGAAGTCATTAAAAAATGTAAAAAAATATATACCTGGTTACATTTGAATAAAGTAAATTTGCTGGTTGGTGCAAAAGAAAAATGTAAGGTAGATAGGGTAGTAGGGAGCTTTATAGCTTATGTGTGGAAAGTAGACTTTAAGGCGCTACAGAACCCAGTAAAAGAAGTTAGAATTAAACAGGCAGCTTAAGACTAACAAGGTAATCTGATTAGCATATATGAAAAATATCTAAAATTTTCAACAGAAACATTAAATAGCTTGGGTTGCCTGTGGTAAGCGGGGATTCTCTTTAGACGATAGTAACCGATTCATGAGCATCAAAAACGTTTTCTCGTTCGTTCTCATGACTGCGGTTGAGGATTAAATGTACGACTTGGTTTCGGCGCTGCCATTGGTGCCACACCTTGAGGTGAAATCTCAATGTCATGACAGCCCAAAACACGAAAAGAAGCCATAGAAAAGAACTCAATACTAACAGGCCAGCGGACAACCATACAAAACCGATATCGAAGTAGTAGAATGCGCCCTTACCACAGAGGTACGTGCTCCCTACTGTGAGGGGTGCGAGAAATAGAAAGCAAATGGCGTCTGCGATTATGTAGCGCCTTTCTATTCTTGACTGTTGATGTTTGAGCCACTAAAAAGACAAAAAGAAAGTTGATAAAGAAATTTATTCAGATGCTCTAACCACTGAGCTACTGGAGACTCTATGGTTGGCAAGGGTACCATGGGTGAAGCATATACAGACCACATCACGCAGCCACGTACAGTCAGAATAAATAAGCAGCCCGGCTCTAACCGCATCACGCGGTCACATTAATATATATATCTATATGAGCCGCCCAACCAACCATCCACACTGCGTTAAAGGAATAGAATAGAATGAACCCTTTGTACTTCTGCCAACCATAGAGTCTCCAAAAGAAATTTAACAAAAAATTCTTGATTGCTTTACTCACATCTCGAAATCCTCTCGGAGTACGCTCCACCTGAAACGACTGTCTACAGATCTCACATGTGTTTTTATTAGACATGGAAAGCCATTCTTCAATACACTTTCGATGAACTCGGCCCATCGTTCCCGTGCAAGAGCAAGGAGAAATGATTTCATCTGTTATTGAATTGTCCCGGCAAATTTTACATGAATAATGGCTGTCACTCGAGTTAACATCTTCATCTCCATTTCCAGTCGAGGGCCCAGCACCCTGTAATATAATCATTGTTTTTTTTAGTTCTTATATCATGAAACTTCAAATTATTTAAGGAATACTTGACAATGTATTTGGCTATAGCTATTGGTAGTCTAAGCTTAGTCGCCAGAAGGAAAAGAATTCAGAAGACCTGAAAATCCTTTAGTGTGATTAAATGACTGTATGAAAGAGCGTTTGACTGAGGTAAATGGCGAAATGAATGAATAGATAGGTGAGATGGGGCGGATGGATAGAGAGATGAGATGGGACGGATGGATGGATAGATGGGATGGATGGATGAGATTGGATGCATGGATGAGATTGGATGCATGGATGGAACGATGGTATGGGTCTTTCGGATGAATGGGAGAGAAGTCGTTGTAAAGAGGGCTATTTTGAGTGGGCGTGTAGGTGAACGATAGAGTGGGTGAGTTAAAAGTGAATAGATTGGAAATGATACAAAAGAATGAATAATTAAAGTGCTAAAGAAAAGAACGGAAAAATGAGAATAAAGCGATAGTGATGTCTATAGTGAGTGCTCGACTCGCACAGTTCCTGTATTTCGTAATGTTTTCTTTATCCTTTTTCTTTAAGTCTTATCTTTTATTAAGCCATTCAGTCCATCCAGTTACGATCACGTTTCATAGTAATCTTAGGATCCGGTTGGTATTTAATCCTTCAAAATCTAAAACCGGAAGCTAATATCAAAATTAACTTATCTTCTTTCCCTGAAATATTTTGTACGAGTGAATCGAACGAGCGCTTACGAAAATCAAGCTCTTGAAGCATTTGTACACTATTCAAAGCAAAATCTCGACACTTATCAAGTTCAATCAACTCCCTAGGAATGGTTCATACGACGTAAGTGATCGTCTCTTCGACATCCTCTTGCTTCAATTGCTGTAACACTTTATTGTCATTGCTTCTAAATACACGACAAATTGAATAAATGAACATTTTCTCTTACTCTTTCAATTGTATAGCATTTCCTCTTTAGATTTCTAAGGTGAGCTTAAGTTTTTGTCATGAGGATTTGAATAATAAGCGAATTCTGTGAGAGGTATATTTTTAGTTTTGCGCTCTTCTACAGTATACTCACATTTTCATGACCGATGRAGTCACTGATGTCGATGCTAAACAACGAGCACACACTTCCACTTGCACGAGGCGAGATTCCTACAAGAGAATCTTCCATTTCATCGTGGTCTATCGTTTCTTTTTGATTTTTTTGTCATAATTATGTTATAATTGACTTGTCTTAAGTAGGACAATCTTTTCATTGTGACGTTGCGCATGCGCGCGCTTAATCGATTAGAGCTTCGAAGCTTTCTCTTTCAATGCTACAGCAAAAGGTCTTTATTTCATAAGCAAAAGAACTAAGATGGCTACTTGAATAGCAGACGCATAGCTTTTACCTTTTTTTTTTTTTTTTTTTTTTTTTTTTTTTTTTTTTTTTTNTTTTTTTTTTTTTTTTTTTTTTTTTTTAATATTTCAAACTGTTGCGGCGAAAGGGAAATACAAGAACCTGCGTTAAAGAAAAACCTTGAAGCTCAAGATAATTAGGACTAATATTTATACTCAATTTAATAAAGGCGGAGCTGCTTGGATAAGCTCTGCCATTCATTGCTTGTATGTTTTCAAACGGTATTTAAAAAATAACACTAGAAAAAATTATGTGGCAATAAGGTCCATGTTCAGATACGAACTTTGTCGCGTCGAATCTAATCGAGTGACGTCTGGCTTTTGTTAACGCGTTAAGTTCATAGCGAGCGGCAGAATTAAATACGACATTTGAATCAGACGCCGAATTTCAGTCGACGACTTTAAAGGCAATTCTTCGCTTGCACGTTACGACATCGCGGTCATGTTGGTACCATTTAACAAAAGATTTCTCATTAGTATCCATTGTTAACGGTACCAGAATGCCCGCCATGTTTTCGTTTTTAACTCTCTTGGGAATGCTTGCAACCCTTCAATTAGATTCTCCCTTATATTTTACATTAGACCGACGAAAATGTTCGTTATCATTCACTCAAACCGTGCTTGCAATTGATTAATTCGGCACACATTAAAGAGGAAATGAAGAGCCAATCGACCAATCACAAACAAGTATTTGTAGATGTTGTTTTAATAAAGTACAACATTATTCGGCATGTGAGCAAATCATCGTCAACTTTCAAGTCATGTTTTTTTTACGCACACGAGTTGTTTGATATCCATCACTCCACACTCACTGTAGTAACTGTTTATATTTAATATTTATTTATATATATATTTTTTATAGAATCTAAAATAACTTGTCAATATAATCAATTATGATTTGTTATATTTATTTCTATTTTTGGTGTGTAAATAAATTGAATTGAGTTGATATTCCTTGCACGCGTACATTGAGTAGATATCCGAAATCAGCCACTGTTATCGCGCTAGGGGTCAGTCAAAATATATCATGTTCAAGTCTTAGACTTCCCTGTTATTATAGTAAGTAAAACCACGCAGTACCAACGTATCTGGAGTTGTTTTTATAATCATTGCAAGCAACTGCAGAGTGATAATAGTTTTCCCTCAGAGCACACTGACTGTTCCTGATTTCCGATTTAATCATATCGATGTAGAAATGCATGCGCTGTTATTTTTACCTCCATTGTAAGAAGTAATAAAATTCTTGACACCAAAAGTCGGACAAATATATATTTTCTTCTTCTTCCCCAATATGCCTATACTATGGTATGATAACAGTGATAACGTGATTGTCGATATTCTTTACCATGAGTACCTCTGATTTTGCGCTTGAATAAATGAATACAAAGTTAGCAAACGTATGAATAAATGAAGAATGGATGGATGGATGGATGGACCGATGGTTGGAAGAACGAGTAAGCGAATCAAGTGAATTATGAACGAATTGTTATGAACAAGCGAAAGAATGATTGAATGAATAATAAGCGAACAGGTAAAAAACGAATAAAAGAAAGAAAGAATATTAAATGAATGAATGAATAAACACCAAACTTTATTTATTCTGCAAATATTCTTTTTATAGACTCTTCAATACGACCCTTTTGACGTTCCAGCCTAAGATTAATTACATTTGAAATTATTTTGGGTTTATTTGTTTACAGTTTGTGGGCGTTCACAACAAATAAATCTAATTTACTGTCGACTCTCAATCTCTCGGGGAATTTCTTGTACTGAATTTCAGGTAATTCTCTATTTTTGACTCATTACATTGTCCTTCGAAGCTGGAATGATGAACTAAAGAACAAATCAGTCGTCTACTGCTAATAAACTATCGTTATCGATTATCTATAAAATCAATTTTTTATTTATTTTTATCGTAAGTTTATTGTGTGTATAATCTGTAACCAAAAAAATATATGTTGACGTTTATCTTTCTCAATCTCTGTTGCTCACTTGCACGCTCTCTCTCTCTCTTTATTTCCTGTCTCTGTCGCTTAGGCGAACTTGATCAATCTCTACTGTTTTCTCTCGTCTTCTTAACTCAGCCCTCAGTTTATTCATATGTCAATCTAATATCCAAAACAAAACGTACAGTCAAAATACTGTTCGTAATATCGCCCTATTTGTATTGACAGTATGAGATATGAGCGAAATCGTTTTGCCGCCCGCTGGCGGCGATCTCAGTTTCTTCTCCATGAAGTTTACCTTCAAGTCTAGAAGTATATTCCTAAATCATCGACGCAAAATATAGCCCACTTTCGAGGTATGTTTCCCTTATTGCGCACAAAGGTTTCAGTACGAGGCTATGTGCTGAATTCAATTTCTTCATTTCTCCTGTCAATCCACAAAGCCTCACATATACTAATATAAAAGTTTGAAAAAAACATTTGAAAAAGTTGTAAAATTTCTGCGCGAAAAGCGAAGCATATCTTGAAAGTGAGTTGCTTAAAGCTCGCTGAGATAGCAAATATTTGTCATTGACATATTTAATGAGAAGGGACTCAATTTGGTTTTATCGACCTAATTTTGTAAAGGATAACACCTGTCGTCTTGCCTGTGGATACAAATTAAACAAAAACTTCGTCACACCAATTTCCTTTTGTGGTAAAAGCACTTTTCCATATTCGACGAATCTGAGAAGACTGACAGACGACAAATCGTATTTTTTTTGCTTAATTTGAAGCGCATTTGCTCGATTTTGGAAGTCGGAGTCATGTTGCAGTAAAGATCAAAAGAACTGAGGATATTCTCAACTTGGCTCTCAAAGATTTCAGTGCGTTGCATCCGATATTCATCTTGAATGAGGTGTCGATTGTGTCGAATGCTCGTCCTTGTGCCATTCATTATCGTGTCACTGTTTTGATTGGTTGGTTCTCAATTCATAGTTTCATTATCCCTAAAATAAGGAATGACTGACGAGTGCGTGTTGTCTTAATGTTAGGTTTTGTTCTGTATAGTTTTTCGAGGTAACATTAGGGCAGTCTCGATTATAAACATCTACATGATCGATAACAAAGGGTCTTTGGTATAATCGATAATCATGTTAAGACCTAAGACTCCATGGAAACAGCAGCTGCTAAACGATGTTGGTGAAAAGAGCAATTTGGAAGCAAAATAAAACTTCTATATAAGCAGCCGCCATACCAGAAGAATAGCAAAGGATGAACGTTCTTCGTACTTCGAGGCCAAAGAACTAACAAAGCCTTTTACAACCACAACCTTCAATTTATTATAAATTACCAAAAGATTCTGAGAAAAAATCTTGGGATTCTATTCTTAAGGGTAATTCCACTGTACGTTGAAAGACATGGGTGAAAACGCTACGTTGTCAGCTCCAGCTTCCCAACACAATCCTTGGGATGATGCTATTTGGATTCTTACATGTTCCTTCATCATTTTCACCATGCAGTCGGGTTTTGGATTGCTGGAGTCAGGAATGGTTTCTCGTAAACACGAAATTAATATTTTAGTAAAGAACATTGCGGATGTGTTATTTGGTGGTTTAGCCTTTTGGATGTTTGGTTATGCCTTTAGCTATGGAAACGCAAAGGGATCAAATCAGTTCATAGGACTTGGGAATTTTTTCCTGGACGTTGATGGCGAAGATATGGGATGGATTTATTCCCGATTTTTCTTTCAAGCATCATTTTCAACGACCGCTACAACAATAGTTTCCGGAGCTATGGCAGAGCGAGTCAAACTAGAGGCCTACTGCCTTTTTTCTTTCTTAAACACGATCATTTTCTGTTTGCCAGCACATTGGTTGTGGTCGGAGAACGGCTGGCTTTATATACTTGGCGCGTTTGATGAAGCTGGTGCGTGTACGGTTCACTTGGTTGGCGGACTGACCGGACTAGTAGCGACTATTATTTTGAAGCCCCGTTCGGGACGATTTGAAAATGAAAATGATGATACAGAACAGGTCGATACCTCTGAAATGGGAGCCCCAGCTACTTCTCTGCTTGGTCTTTTCATGTTATGGTGGGGATGGCTTGCATTGAACTGTGGCAGTACCTTTGGAGTCACCGACGGCAAGTGGAAGATTGCGGCAAGGTACGTAGAGACCAACCTACACTTAAAAATTATATATGAATAAGAAAATAGGAATTGCAACAGTGGTTCCAGAGAGTGGCTTTTCTTCCACTTCTTCCAATTTTTGCGGAGGGAGGAAAACCGGACAGTTTATTTATATTACTATCAAACTAGATATTTTTTTGATACTAGATAAGAAACATACTTGAAATAAGGGTAAATTCCTCATTTTCTACCTGGACTCGGAAGATGACTTCCGCTCAGGTTGTCGAAACGTCAATCACCACCACCAACGACAGTCTTTCTCAAGACTACACTCACCCGGACGATCACATTTTACACCAAATACTTTCAATAGTTGGAATTTGAAGTAGGGTTGGGAATATTTTTTAAATACCAACCGACCCTTCCTAATAACTAACCTTAACCTACAGACCATTACCTTACCTACCTACCTCCCGACCTAGTACTTTTTTTCCATATACCTACCTACCGTAGGTAGGTAGGTAGGTAGATCTTACAATTATCTACTTACCTACCTACATAACAATCTACCTACCTACCTACCTACCTACCTACCTACCTACCTACCTACCTACCTACCTACCTACTGACCTACCTACCTACCTACCTACCTACCTACCTACCCACCCTACCCTACTTTGATTACTGGCACGTGGACTAACTTCTGACCAGAACAAAACAGCTTAATGATTGAAAAAAGGTGTAGGCGTGTAAAAAAGATCTCTGAAAACGGTACGTTATGTAATGCATCATGAAGGACTGAAAAACACATTTTTCAATACATGGTCTACAGACTTCAGTGATTAGGAATGTTAGGGGGGCGTATGAATTACATTGTATTTTACACCTTTGTTTGGTTTAAAATATAATGAACGCGCTACGGAAAACGTAAACTGCGAAGAATACGTGCGAAAGCTTTTTCGGTTTCATAACAATCCAATTGTGAGTTGTCTGGCGAAATCCTATAGTCCTCTAAAGAACGTTGTGTGACGGCAATGCTAGCGACAACCCTACGGGAATAAGTCTGCCACACTTGAAAAACTAAGTAAATATATATATTAGTCCAATCGCTCAGGTATCTTTGCTTTCCTTCATAAGGCAAAAATCTGTATAGTATGAAAAAAATCTACACATTGCATTTAATATGGGGCTTTCATTAACGGTTTGGAATCATCAACCGAGACTAAGTACTTTTCATCTGACGAATTCGTTCTTAGACATTTTTATGCACTATGTGGTTCTTAAGATAAATTCAAGTACGCCCGTTATGGTTGAACAAGAAGAAAATGCTTAGAATTGAATGTATAATTGATTTTTATTCTTTTTATTAAAGCAAGTTAGATCCTTTCTTGTCCATCACAATTACGTCTGTTCGTCTTTTTCCATTTGTTTTTTAATTTTCTTGTTGTTGTTGTCATTTATTAATAATAATATCAACGGAATAATAATAAAAATAATGTCAACAAAAAAAGAAAAATAAATAATAATAAAGAAATAAAAAAAAAAAAGAAATAGAAAAGATAAGAAAGAAAGAAAGAAAGAAAGAAAGATCGAAGAACGAGTGCTTCATGCAGTTTGAAATCGTAAACCTTAGTAGTATTACGGCGGTCATTTCTCAGCTTTGGTCATCAAAAAATATTTTGTAATGAAATTCGACAAAACGTTTTCCTTATTTTTGCCGTGCATTATTTCAATGACAGCAGAAAGAAAGAAAGAAGGTAGGAAGGAAAGGAGAAAAGAAAGGAAAGGAATGAGCGAGAAAAATCCAGTAATTTGGCTAAAAACGTTTTTTGTCTCGGTCAAAAATAAATATAGATAAATAATAATAATAATAATGATTTTATATATTAGCGCCATTTTCTAAAGTCTAAAAGCGCTTCACATGCAAGTATATTAAAGTTATCTAAATATTTTGGTATATCTATGATAAAATTGATATAAATTATTAAAAGCCAATAATGAATATAAATATGTATGAGTCATCTATCAAGTAGTAAAAGTTAAAATAGATTAAAAAAATAAGAATATCGGAAATGCTTCTTTGCCGAAGTACAGCTACTGAGAAAATATTGCTTCAATGATTGACAGAAACATTCGAAAAATTAATCGTCACTCGTAGAAGCTGCTTTTTTAGCGACAAGATTATGATTAATTCTGACGAGGTGGCCAATTGCAAAAGATAAGAATATCTTGGATTAAACTTACAAAACTCAATTTAAGAAAATGTATAATTGCAAAATATTGAATTAACAAAGTTACTCGCATATATTCTAGCAGAATGGCTTTTCTTTTTTTGTCGAGCTTGAAAAATGAATTCAAGTAAAATAAAAATGGTCGCCGTGTGAAAATTTATTCGAGTTTAAATAATCATTTGCTTGAATGAAAGACTGAGGTATTTTATTTGTTTTTGTATAATTTCGCTGTTTTCACTGCCCCTAATCTATTGGACTCTAAGAAGGCTTCCTTGTTTATTGCAAACAATAGATACTGGTGGAACTTCAACGCGGGTGAGATCAGAAATGTTTTACGAGGAATGAAATATAAACAATATTTTGGGTAAAAATATTGATTATATTGCTTTATTTTATCAATTTCTAAATTTCCTAATTTATCGGAACCCTGAACAACCTCTCCGGCGATCTGTGCTGATCAAAGTCAGGTCACGGCCGACTCAAATTAAAGGATCAAACCTTTTGAAACAACCTCTGGGCTTGCTGATCTAAGTCAGAGCACGGCTAACTAACAGATCTTTTCGCGAAACAGCAATTAAATTAACCCGATAAACGGGTTTTAGCTTTGTCCACGAACGCAATTCCTATCCTTATGAAAACACCAGCAAGCAGCAGTAATTTTTGGTGTGGAAATTATCTTCCTGTGGGAAGACACCCTACCGCACGCGTCAAAACACAATCTTCGAGCTCCGTTATATTATGTCATTAGCCAGCTCGCTTATCTACAGTTCACAGTGAGCCACTAACCAATAACTCGTGGGTTTGATCACGGAACTAAGGCGGTTTTCCAAACCATTTTAAGTATAGCAGCCAGCAGTTTTCAGTGACCATAGTAGGTGGTATATAATCAATTGGTTTTCGCCACCATGTTTGCGGTTAATAACAACTTTGACACCAATCTTGTAAACTTTAATTTTATTTTACCAAACCGTTACCACTGACAATCTCAGCTTGGAGTCTATTTTAAAGAGGTAGTGAATTGAACCACTCTTAGTGGAGATATGAAATGTCGCCTCTTCTCTGTTCTCTGTATAAAAAGACTTTTGTTTCATGTGGCATTAATTTGTCGGTTATAAATCCCATAAAAACCAACTAAAGGCTTTTATATCACGACATTTGGTGGTCAGTTGAGCAATGAGACAGTTACTCGAGCGAGCTGCTTAATGAAACAGTCTAATAGAGTGTAGGGAAGGTTACTAGCTTTCTCGGAAGTTGGTTTAACCGGATGTTTGATGCATATAGTATAATTTTTATCTTATTTCTGTTTTATTTCCGTTCTTCCATCCATCCATCCATCCATCCATCCATCCATCCATCCATCCATCCATCCATCCATCCATCCATCCATCCATCCAT